ACCCTGACAGCTTGAATGGAAATACTCAATTTTGCATGACATTGGAACACAGATCATCCATCCCCAAATTGTATCAGCAACACTTTCGCTTCCGGGCGCCAATTATGTATTTGAATGCTGCTCCTTGTGCGTGGGAGCCATCGGCAACTTATTAAACGCTTAATTTACTCTATGGCTTCAAATGTGCGCACAGCTCAACATAACATGCATGCATATGCAACAAGCTCACATACATTGACTTATATGCATATGCATGCATGAGGATGCAAATACTCGTAAATACTTACATATCTCCTTCCATATCCGTATGTAGGTATATATGTATGTATGTGGGTCGTTCTTGTTCACACGTGCGCTAACATTGTCAACATGGCTATAAACCGCACACAAACATATGTATGTATATGTCTTTACTTCCTTGCAATTCTACTCCCTGTGAATATTCTTGCTAGTTTAAATATGTAAGTACATACATACATGCATATATGAATATCCAAGTACAAACATAAATAAATAAATACATACCTACATATGCAGACCTAGGGCGGTTACTCGCTAAATTGTACCACGCATCGAAGGACGGACTAGCCAGTGCCCCTTAATGTCGCATATGATTTAAAAGTAGATAACTATGCCCCTGCAACGAAACTGGATCCGATACGACGCTCAATATAAACTGTGTTCCATTTGTGCGCATGTGTAAGTGCGTTGCTTTGTTTGTTGTCTATCGCCGCACTCGCTACCCTTACCACTATCACTAATAGTGCCACTGTCATTGTCATTGTCACTACCCGACATTGCAGCAGTGGCATTGTTGCATTGTAACATGCAAGTGATCCGGGGTTTTCACCACTTGCCACAATTTGCCGGCCATGGCTGCACATCTACATATTTCCTTTCAAGCTTGCCGACGACTAACCAAACGAACTGGCGCTCTTCTCCTTCCACCGTTGACCTGAGCTTGCGCCTCAGGCAATCGTTGGAGTGCATCAGTGCACAATTATCTGAGCAAAATTTACTGTGTGGTAAACGCAAGTGCCACTTATGGCATGCACTATGTACATCCTTCGTGTTCTACGAGATTTATGTTCCATTTCCCTGCCGCACCCTGAGCTGCAGCTATGCGTACTCGACACTTTGTGTTAGCCACTTTGTTTTTGCCTTATTAAATATGAACATACATGCATACATATTATTGTTTTTATTGTATTTTTATTTACTGAGCGCCGATAAGACGTCGGGCAATTTATGCAAATAATTTTAATTTCAGATAAGCAAATTACTCGAGTGCTGCTACCAACGTACTTGAGTGACTGTGGCTTGCTCGTCATTGAAGCTTTTGATTCGAGTGTGAGTGAGAGGCGTTGTTGAATGCCACAAAGTGCACTTTGCCACCGGTAGGTATTGTTGTTTTCGGTGATATTGGTGCAGGCCAAGTCAACACTTCTGTTATATCCATGCTTTAAATTTGTACATTTAACAAAGCACCAGCGGGCAGGTAAAAGGGAATCCAAAAATAATTATATAAGGGGATTATAAAAATGGGAAAGTAAGCAATTTCGCCTTGGTAGGAAATCATTAAGGTAGTCCAATCACCAAGTTTGACGAACGTGTTTGAACTGGATCATCCAGACATAGTAACAATCCCGAAGGGAGTTCATTAAGATCTGCCGCTCAGGGAAGTAGTGCTATTCGGTAGGATTCAGCTTCAATCCCTACTTCCATCCACAAAATAATACATACTTATAAAAAGTTTCCTAACACTAGTTATCCCTTGTCGGTGAATATCAAATTTCCGAGTGTATTTCAGCCTGAAAAAAAAACTTCCCATTAAAAACTGCATATCTGCCATTCGAAAGCGTCGTAAAATCGACGTTCTCCCACTTGTATGACNCTAGTTATCCCTTGTCGGTGAATATCAAATTTCCGAGTGTATTTCAGCCTAAAAAAAAACTTCCCATTAAAAACTGCATATCTGCCATTCGAAAGCGTCGTAAAATCGACGTTCTCCCACTTGTATGAAAATTTCAAGACGCATGTATATGTGTACACCATGAATAGGAGAAGTTCGCGCAAGCACAAAATATCAAATATGTGTAATACAAACTTTTTTTTTCTTGAAGGTAATCCACCTTAAGACCCGAATATGGACTATACAGCTAAGATGTCTACTCGAAAACAGCACCACCACTGCATGCCATCCATTTTAAATCTACACGGTCCACGAATATATGATATTGTTCTCTGATTGAAAGTGTGGTACCTAATCCTTGTTAAGGAGTGGCAAAAACACAAAAAGTGTTTCGCCGCCTCATCCCCTTCTAAGCAGAAGGACATGTATTGTTGTTATTACAGTCAGGTGTTTGTGGCTCCAGAAGTGACTAGTCCTCAATACAGTCCCATCTGTTTAATGCAAGCAATTACCTAGCTCGATCCTTGAGATAGAGGGCAACAAGAGTTTGGCATACCCGCAACCTTCGAATCATTGCCAGTCAATGCTAAACGAAATATTAACCCAGTTTTTGACGGTGGCTGCGATGGGCGAAGTTGGGAGTGCTATAACTCCTTTTGGACCAATTTAATAATACCTGGTCTAAGCCATCTCTTTCCAAATGACCTGGAACACAAATTGAAACAAGTTCATTTTGTTTGCCGCATACGTAATTTAACAGACATTGGCATTGCCGATTAAAAGTAGTTAGAGAGCTGAACAATGTCTTTAGTGCATCTTGGCCGTCGCTAGACACACGTAAGGTCTTACTTCTTCGCCCATTTTCTAGCATTCCATGGCCTTAAGGATTGAAAATAACCTGGTTTGGAATACCGAGGCATACCTATTCCCCAAAAGTGAATATTCTTCCCATTAACTTGGATATACATAGCTCACAGATTCTGACCCTGAGTCAGTTTTGGAGCATCAATGAAAATTCTACAACAGCGTAAGTCCGCGGCAAGTAATTGGGTTAAAGCAGCACTCAGCCTTAGGGAACCCAAAATTGTAGGTATCTCTTCAGCAAAGGCAATCTTGTGGCACATCTAGATGTCTACCTCCAGCAATTTCCGCCTCACTCCATTCCGTTATTATACCAGCACCCAGTATTTTAAGGTCCTCCCCGCGAATAAAGATCTTACGTCATGCTAGGTTCAGCTATGGGGAAAGCCCTCCTACAGCACACGGCGATCGCTCTTTGAAGTTTCATGAGCAGATTTGCCGCACTATAGATTCAGAGTCTGCACCACCAGACCATAGGTGCACAACTGACGATCGGTGAACCCACAGAATGCCGTAGGATATTATAAAACGGCGCTGTCGTGTAGTGGTTAGCAGCGCGCGCTAACGTTGCGAAGGGCCTGTGTTCAAGCCTGGTTTACCCCAACATCAAAAAAAACAAACAAAGCAGTTCCTTCTAATAGCGGTCGTCCCTCGGCAGGAAACGCCACACCTCTGAGATTATTTCTGCCATGAAAAACACCTTCTCATAAAAATACAATCACCGCTCGGAGTCGGCGTTAANTCAAATCGTTATGACAGAGGAAGCAAAGATGTACCAATAAAAATATACAACAACCGTATGAATGTCGTTAAAACTTGGAAAGATAGCGACAGCTGAAATAAAAAGTGTTACTCCATGTTACAGTTTTGCTCGTCACTGTACGCCCCTCCCCTTTGTGTGACAACTTAAAGATGCACGCCACAAATCGAAGGAGAAGCTCGGCCAAATACTAACATACATATGTGTAAGCGTCAATCAATTAATAGTATTATTTTTACAAAAGCGCCTCCCTGCGAATGCGAAAATCAACCAATCAGCGTCAAACATTTCAGTGTGAAGGACATAATTCTAATAGGCCTGAAACTTTTAGATGCAGTGATAATATTTTTCAAGGTCGTAATCAAAATCACAGCAACTTCTTTGGGCACAATAGGTAGGTAGATTCAATATCGTAGAGTAGAATGTGTCTCCAAAGAAACTGCATAGTGAAAAAACCATCAGGCCTCTAAAGTGAACCGGTGTTTGTCTCTAGGTATCAATGCCACCTAGCTGCCCTTTTTGAAGAACGCTTATACTCCCTTTGTGCGCAGCGACAACATATTTTTTTTGACGGCCCGGTTTAAAGGTTTGCTCGAATCACTCCCCAACTTCTGAAGCTACTGATAACACCAAGGGACAAGAGGGCGGCTAAGGGGTGGACTTATATAATTTAGAAAAAAAAATTATAGCAATTAATTTTTACGAGCTCTTGCCGCACATGCTAAGGAAAAAGTACCCACCACCAGACAAAAAAATACTCCACAAGTTTGCAAATGCAGTGATGCGGGACCATTTGAACTGCCCTATTAATTTGCTTCTGCTAGTTCCAGTTTCTTACGTTTTACGACAAAAGTAACAGGAAAATTACGGGTGATACTTATTAAGCTGAAAATAGCAGCAATTTTTTTTTTAATATTTTTTAAGCATCCATAAAAGTAGGGGCACACTGAATGGTAACTGCTAACCTAAAGCGAATGATGCTGCGTTCCTAGAACGATATTTCGCTAGAGCCAGATGTCCATTTTGGAGACCTCTTCATTGCTGGTTAAGGCCTTTATATGAATGCCTAAATATGAAGAAGTGACGAGTATGTACATCTAAATTTGTCTTTTAGTGCAAGATCCCAGGGCCGATAGACCTAACTTATTTTCCAAGTAACAAAATTCTAGGACTAAGGAGTGTTATATGCACTTATTTAAGAATGCATGTGTACACTGAGAAAAAATCAAACAAAACATTGGTTAACATTATCAAATTCAAACTTCAAAAAGAATAAGTGAGATTTTTGGTTAATATTACCAATACCCTGGTTGCTTTTTTCAACCATGATTTGGTAATATTAACCACACTTTTATTTACAGTAACCAAACTGTTGGTCGACGATTTTTTCGTTTGGATACGCTTATGTTTTGCACTTCACAGATGATTTTTCATAATTCGGTGATACAAAAAAAAATTTATTTTCATTATAGCAAGTTTCCTCTGATGAGATGTGAAACCGCATCTTATATATGTTAGCAAATAAAAGCAAGCATCTCTGAACAATCAGCTGCAGCCGCTTTATAAATCTGCCTTCAAATGTTCAACTTGAATCAAGTTCCTTCGTCAGTTGAACTGGTTCTGCACTTCGTAATTAAGGAAACCAAAAACAGAAAATAATATGAAAATTCGGTGGCTCGCTGACGGCATTTGCACTCTCACACCTGCTGGAAGCCAACAAATAGCATCTCTGCACATTCAGTCACTGCCATACATACGAATTTATTCTCAAATGTTCCACTCGAATGGCTTTTCTTACAATCGGCTTATTAACCATGCAAAAATCAAACCATAACTTGATTGAAAAAACGTTGTATCTGCTTGCTGGGTAGGCGGTCTTTCTTCAGATAGCAAATAGAGAAGTTATGTATTTAGAAACGTTACTTGCTTTTGTTAAATCTAAGTACTGGATTTTATATAAATTTTAACAAAATATTGTTATAAATATTCAATATTGCCAGATATTAATCATTGGCAATAACTTCCTCCAGGCGCAACCGATTAATATTGATGGAATGGTAAATAATAGCTTTTGTTTAAAAAATAACAGTTGTTTTGAGAAAAGTATATCATTCTTCCTTTATTGTATTTTCGGGTTGCAGTTGAAGGTGTTTTTTTCATAAAAGTGAAAAGTGTCTATATATGGGAAAAGTTAACTAATTTTCGGTGAAATTGATAGCGGAAATATTAAGTGTTATTCTTAGTTTTAAAATATATGTATACCGCAAAATAAAAAAATTAAAATAACTGACATCACTTCGCATTTTACCAACCTTGGGTACCACTGTCCAATATAATGGACGGTGAATAACGGTAAAACTAAGAGTTTTAGTAATTTTTTGATTCCATGTTTGAAATCAACGACCCAAATTTTGCCGCTAAACAAATTTTCAGAGTTTTAACTTCAACGGCTGATTTTTTGTCCTCAAAGGGCTAATACATCGCGTATGAGTAACATAGTTTCCTGCTCAAATTTCATACAAACCTACTACTGCGTACGAAGCAAAATATGATGTCACTACTCTGGCAATTTTTTCCTATCCAACGAATGTTATAAAAACATATCAAACTAATTAAATGCATTGAGAACGTAATTGATTTACCTGTGGTTAGATAACATTTGAATAAAACTGCACTTTTGTGTGCGTGGCCGATCCAATTGTTTTCTATTGCTTTCGTGAAATATTCCATATATTTCATTGCGAAATAGAAGTTAATATAAATGACTTGGAGTAGTTTTGATATAGGTTTATTGATGCTTAAAAAGGTGTTTTTCACAATATTTTTTATTTTTTTATTTATCTCCTTCATAACTCATGCAGTAGAGGGTTAAGTGCGCCCTCTGCACCACTATGTTCTTATATAATTGTGCATTAGCAAACCTTCAATTAAATGCCATTTTCTAACTAATTATTTCAAAACCTTTTATTCGACATTTTATTTTGAATTTATTTAGCTACACACACGAACATTTAATAAACACTTTTATCATTTACATATTTAATAGGGGTTTGTTTTCGTACATTACTTATTTCGGGAACATTTAATTTTATTATAATTTGACTAGTTTATAAATTTATGTCAAATAATTTAAATTTGATTTACTACTAAATACTTTAGCTTTTACCACTGAGAATTATTCCAAGAACATTTATCTACATTTATACAAAAAAACCAAAACAAAGTCAAGGATTAGGTCGCTCAATATCAGGTATGTACAATACATGTACCTACATACATACATTGGTTCGATTGACGATAAATTGATTACAAATGTACGACACGTCAAACATCATTAAATTATTCATTTTGATTATGTTTGTGTCAGCATTCGATATAGTCTAAGTTTCAAGTGTATATATGTACTATAGTATATAATATTCATAATTAATTTTGAGCACATTAATGAGGAATCATACAATATATATAATTGCATTAATAAAGTTTTATTTTTTTCATTAGGTAAAGTAAAGTAAAGTACCGTTTCTGTTAATTCTGGTTAACTGGCGCTAAAGTGCATTAAAATTTCATTGTTCCACACAAAAACAAATCTGCTTTCTTGACTTCGCACATTTGTTTTCAAAAATTTTCACTATCCGCAGTTTTATTTATTCTTTTATTTTTTATTAAAATTTTATATTTTTTAATATATAAGTTTTTTACTTCCAAACACTTAAATTTCAAGGGCATAGCTTAACATTAACACTTAACACACTTTATGCCAAACAAATTTGCTTAGACGCTCCACTGTGCATCCGTTAGTAATGCCCACAAAAACGTTTTGAAAATTTTAGCAACGGGGCAAACTTTAGAGCGTTAAAACGAGGTCTTGCCAAAGATGAAGTTGCCTGGCGCATTAATGTCCTCCGCGGCAAAATATTCCTTCCACAAAACGGCAAATTGATCACGTGTGACCTCACTTTGACCCTGTAAGTAAAATGATGTATTTTAAATGTGTTATGTAAAAAAAAACACATTATTTAAAATTGGTTTGCCGTTAGCTTACTTGTGCCATTTTCTTAAACGCTTCCTCGCACTCCGACTTCGCCAGACCATAGCTGGAGCAGACTAAAGCGAATTCTTCCACGTCAATGCTGCCGTCGGTGGAAGCATCCTCCAGATCGAACATGAAATTCATGTATTTGGTCTGCCAGTCCATGGCACTGCTGGGGTCTTTGGCATAGGCGTCCCACATGTTGCACCACTCGTCTACGGAAACCTGCAAATGCAGTGAGAAAAATGTTGTTGTTAAGAAAAAGGTGCCAAGTAAAGAAAAACAGAACAAGATAAATAAATAGTTTCGGAAAACTAATACAAATATTTCACATTTAAATTTATGCATACAAATGTGCATATGGGCCAAAACGCGGACTGTTACAACACATTTTGGCTCACACTGCTTTTCAAATACGGCTGAAACTCGCTAGAATACAATTTTCGGATAGTTTTTCTTCTTGCATCTGAAAGCATAACTGCCACATGCATTATTTAATAGATGGGGCGTTCCATACGGGGTTCACTTCATGTCTTTGACTTGTTTCAAATTTTTAGGGTTGCTACAAATTTTTAGGTTGAAACATAAATAATAAATAATTATGAAATTTGAGCTTGATTAATACTTTTTCAAAAACTTTACAGCACAAAAATAAAAACAAATGGATTTAATAGTTTTCCAAATATCACGTGAACGCGGCGAGGAAAAAATTTGAAAAATTCACAAATGCACACTTAAATATACTCTATGAAAAAAAAAATATTTTTAAATTTTTTTTCTTGAAAAATTTTTCGCATAAAAATTTTTGTATAAAAAAAATNAACATAAATAATAAATAATTATGAAATTTGAGCTTGATTAATACTTTTTCAAAAACTTTACAGCACAAAAACAAAAACAAATGGATTTAATAGTTTTCCAAACATCACGTGAACGCGGCGAGGAAAAATTTGAAAAATTCACAAATGCACACTTAAATATACGCTATGAAAAAAAAAATATTTTTAAATTTTTTTTTCTTGAAAAATTTTTCGCATAAAAATTTTTGTATAAAAAAAAATAGTTTTGAAAATATGCCATCTTTAAGAAATTAAGTATAGTATTATGGGGTGCACTCTACAATAATTTAAGTTATGAAATTTCTTTTACACCGAAGTTGAGTACTCATTTTACATTATAAATTTACAAATTTTTTAATTTCTTTTAGAATTTTTTTGAGTATGCCCATTAAATTTTAAGTTAATAAAGTGCAAGTTTTAAGCGATTGTAAAACTAGCGTTATTTTTTTAAATTTTCTTTGAAACAGTTTTGCGCATTTTCTTCCATAAGAAAAAAGTGCTAAAAGTCGCCAGCGTAAACAATATCAAAAATCAACGCAATTTTGTATACTCAAAAAAGTTCTAAAAAAATTTAAAAAAATCTTAAATTTGTAATGTACTCATTTTACTCAACTTCGGTGTAAGAAAAATTCATAACTCCAATTATTGTAGAGTGCATCCCATAATACTATACCTAAATATTGCGTAATACTAAGAGCTACCATTGCGAATTTTTAAATTTTTTTTTTTGAGATGGTATATTTTGAGTAACAATTTTTTTTTTAACTTGTATGTGAAATTTTTTTTTTACATATTTCTTTTTATAGAGTATTTTGATGNATATTTTGAGTAACAATTTTTTTTTTAACTTGTATGTGAAATTTTTTTTTACATATTTCTTTTTATAGAGTATTTTGATGTGTGTGTGTGTGATTTCTTTCAAATTTTTTCCTCGCCCCGTTCTCGAGATATTTGTTTTTGTTTTTGGCAGAAAAGTTTTTATTTTTCTAAGTAATTCTTATCTTCTGAGCCTACGTAAGTTAGAAAGGATAACAATTTAGCCTATGGCACAATAAAACGTTGTATTTTTAACTAAATATGAAAAAAATGTTACCTGAAAATCCAATTAGTNTTATCTTCTGAGCCTACGTAAGTTAGAAAGGATAACAATTTAGCCTATGGGACAATAAAACGTTGTATTTTTAACTAAATATGAAAAAAATGTTACCTGAAAATTCAATTAGTAAAAACGACTAGTACGTTAAAAATAGTTTTCCACCGAAAACACATGGGTAATTTAGAGTATAGGTAACTATTTTTTCTTTTTATTGTAAAAGAAGTCCGAAAATGCTCGAAGAAAACTTGAATTTTCTCTTTTTTTGCCTAGTGGATTCCGCGCCAGAAATCTAATTGGTAATTTTTTGTCAAATACTTTTTTATTAGCTTCAAAGTAATACAAGACAAGCAAGAGAAGAAAGTGTAATGTAAGAAATTATGGTCCTTAAATATAAGCTATTCTTTAGTTTAATGTTGTGCTTTTTTTAATTTTCGTTATTTTAACTCTTTAAACGCTAGTGTTACATATATATGTAACGCTCGAATTGCGCGGACTAATAATCTTTTTATGAAATTTTTTATTACATAACAAAGATTCACGAGTGTTACACCTATGTATCGGGTCATAAAGGCACCCCTTGATAGAGGTGGAAACTTTTTATTATGGGTTTGTGTACATATCCTCTCTTTTAGTATCTTCCAAAATTTGGTTCCTCGAAATTTCCTATTTTGCTTTCGCGTTTAATGAGTTAAAGGTGTCTCAGAATTAAGTGAATATCCATGTTTGAGAGAAGTAAATTCGTGTTAATATTTACGTTGTCCGATACCTAAGAATCTGCGAAACCTGAGAAAAAAATCATTCCCCTTGGTTTCGTTTTCGGCGATTTGGGTCATATATTTTTTACTAAGCTAGTAGGCATTGTTGCATACCTTTCCATCTATCAAAGTAATGGGTCTCAGCCCATTCCTGACAATTGCAAAGAAGCTATTTTAGCATAATTTATTAGCGCTTCGCGCCTAGTAAATAAATATTCGCGCACTACTTCGCATATATTTATGTATGATAATATCTTACGTGGATGTGCTAAATATTTCTACTGCTCACTCCTCTCCAAATAACGTATATGCATGCCTAAAACAATACTAACATACAAACTACCTGTCCTGCAATAATCGTATATTACATTTGTTGTCATAAAATAATTTTCCCTTTGCTGTTAGTATCTTTGACTATTTTCTCGATTTTTGTCGGTAAAATTTTTGGCAGCCGAAACTTCTGCTCGGACATCAAATAATTTATGTGTTTTATGCTAGAAACTTAAGTGCATGAATATACTCATATATGTATGTATGTGCACTCATTTATGTTGTACATAGAACAGCATTGACTCCCTCAACAACGCGCCAAAATTTGGTTGACCAGCACAATAAATATTCAACTAAGTATGCTATTGTTGTTGTGGTCGCGATTTATACCATGTTAACTGCAACAAACGTGAACCATCGAAGACCACAACACAACTTATCAGTGTACATTATCACATATCTTTAAAGCCATTTACATATTTATTTAAAAACATTAGCATTTCACTTTGTGCCGATTTGGGTTCATGCTTTTACATATGCAACCACTCATGTATGTACATACATATGTTTATGTGTATGAGTGCCAGTGCAAACCAAAAAAACCGGGCTACCAAGGTCAAAATAGTAAATGAGGCCAATAAGGCAATTGGCATATGGTGTACTGGACTTTTGGAAATATGCTGCTTGCAATATTTTTTTTTTGTTGTGAATAACTAAAATTAAATGGCTTGTGCTTAGATAACAGTGCAGCATTCTATGACATATGTATAAGTAAAGGATTGAGCTTGACGAGAAATTTGTATTGTAGAGTTTTTATTTCGTCGGTAGAAGGATCTGCTTTTCTATTATCTCGCAATCATACAGTACCGTACATGTTTACTACTAGAGCTCCTCATATGTATACTCAAGGGTTAAGAAAGGCATGCTATCAAATTAGTACAATTAATTAGTTAGTGACCAAATTGCAGGTGAAGGGAACATTCCGTTCAAATGGTGCTTCACTTTAGTCATCCTTCAGACTTAAGTACTTAGGATGCTAGGAAAGTCCATAGTTGGCCAGCTAACCAAATCGGCAGTGGATAAAATGCGGAAAAAATTGTTAATTGATTTTGACTGATTAGGTAACCGAAGAATACGAGTTCAAGAAAATAGCCACAAAATTTCACTACCATTGGTCAATTGACACTTGTGTAATAGTGGGAAGCACTACAATCCAGCAACCCACCTGCTAGAATTTTACCATTGTGGATAATATTTATATGTATTATTCTTACTACAAGACCCAAAGCTCTTAGCCAAAAAAGTTCTACTACGCTGATATCTGCACATGCATGTCATAATTATGTACATTAGACTGCATCACTCCCCATACAAAATAAAACTGGTACTGTTTTTCCACCGGAATTNCTGATCATTTATGTATACATTTGTCTATATCTATCTCGATTCGTTTTGCCTGTTACAAACAACCGTTATGTGAACAAAGTTATAATACCCTTGTGCACAAGTGCGCTCGGGTATAAAAATAGTTTCTTAAAGATGTTTTTTGAAAAAATCCCTTAAATGACAAAACGGTTTAAGCTCAAAAAGTTTACATAAAAATATTAAAAAAGAAATAAAAAATATATTTAACGGAATCGTAATAATGAGATTTTTGATGCTGTTTTTTAACTTTTTTCAAAGATTGGTATAAGAAAAACTTGAATAACTGAACCTCAACTCTTCCGAGTTAGACTTGTGGGGTATCACTGGAAAGGTATTTTCTGACCCTTTTTATTTCTTTGCTAATAAGCTCATTCAAAGGATGAAAGAGAAATGTAGGATGAACGAACATCATTCAAAAAAAAATTGGGACACGAATGACTTTTTTTGCACATAAATAAAAATAGTGGAAAAATACCTTTCTACAGAGATCCCATCAGTCTAAATCAGAATAGTTTTGGCCCAATTATTCAAGTTTTTCGTAAATCAATCTTTGAAAAAGTAAAAAAACAGCATTAAAAATATCAATATTACGATTCCATTGAAAAGATATTTAAATATGTTTATGCAGATTTTTTAAGCTTAATATGTTTTGTCATCTGAGGGGACTTTTTTCAAAGAGTTCTTTAAGAAACTATTTTTATTCATAAAAATCTCCATTTTGGAGGTATTTTCAAATCGGTCCAGCTCGTTAAAATCTTAATATTTTTCCGAAATATTTTGGTGGACGTCGTAAAATATAATAAATTTTGTAATCCCGGCGGAAAACCGCAAATTTTT